TCCATGGTTATCCATGGGCTCTTAGGTACTTGCCTAGATCAACTTGCCTTGGTTTTCAATTGTTTGAAATGGTGCTTTTGTGTATGGTTTTGAAAATGTTTTTGAAAAGATGCCTTGTATAGGCTACCCTTGTAACAATTCTTTACTCGAATGTTTTATAAAAGGTGTTTTGTCTTTTAAAAAGATGTTTCAAGGTTTTTTTTGAAAGTTTATTTTGAAAATGTTTGTGAAGTGGGTTTTGAAATAAGGCAAGTGTTTTCTTGGAAAGTTGACAAGTACTTAAGAGTTCATCTACCCTAAAATTTTCTCAAAGATTTTTGTTTATGTTTCAAACCTTTTGACAATTTTGTTCCACCATTGCATTTGGTGGACAATCTTGTTTTAGGAGTTTAAAGGGACGGGCGCGGGTCATCGTTTAGACCATAGTTGCAATTGTGTTAAATGTCTTTGGGCAATTTTCTTTAAAAGGGACTTGATCATTCATTTAAGCAACATTTTGTGGGACTATGATCATTTTGATTGTTTGTTTTTACCCAAAGAAATTCAACATACAATATGGCCCAATTGTTTGAAGGCAACAAAGTGGAATACCCTAGGGGTGTGAGTGTGAAATGTGTTGTCCATTTTTCATGCTCATTTATCTTATATTAGGTCCAACTACTTTGTTCATTTTTATTCGCATACAAAACCCTAATTCTAGCATAGTATGTTTAGAAAGCGATAAAGTGCGAAATTTAAATTCCTACACTATTACATCACAATAATATGGGGAGGGGGTACAATGTTTCAAATGGGGATATATTTAGACAAAAAATTAAACCTAAACTATTACATCATTTTCTATGAATATTTACAAGCTAAATAAATGTATAACTTAAATGGTAAATAAAACAAATATGCAAGAATGCAAAAGGAATTTTTTATATGTATGAGAAAGTATTATTTATGTAAAACAAGAAAAGAAAAGAAAATAAATAAAAGTATTATTTTGAGGTATTTTCAAATTTAGGGTAAAACCCTAATTTTTAGATCAAAGGGGACATTAATGAATTAATTCAAATAATATTTATGATTTACATACACAAACAATAAAATAAAGTATATTTGAAAAAAAAATGCATTTTTATATTAAATACTAATTATAAAAATACAAGGGTATATATTTTGTATTTATCCTAAATATATTAATAAATATGTGTATATATATATATTATTTTAAACATGCATTATATATATAAATAATAATAATTTTTAATATTAACAAAAAAAGTATTTTTTTATGTAAAATATTTACAGGGGGTATAATAAAAAAAATGAAAATAAAAGTATTTCTACCTATTTCTCAATATTTTAATAAAATGTATATATTTATTTATCTAAGTATTAATCAAAAGAAAATCATATAAATACCTAATAAATTAAAAAATGGTGAGAAAAATATTTTTATATTTTTTATGTCATGAGAAAAAATAAACAAAGTTAATCAAAAAAGAAAAAAGTCAAAAAGTTAAATAAATAAGCAAAAGGGCCTTGGGGGTGCAAAAGCAATTATGTGGTGTGAACAGAAAATGCAGCACAAGCCCAGCCCAAACCACTTCTTCTTCAACCTCTGAATCAAAAAACACGCGCCTGCAAGCTTTGTTTGAAATCCTGATTCTTTGATTTTTTGAACAAACTTCCAACACAAAAGATGTTAAGCATGAAATCACGATTCTAACCATATGCATAACTTGATCTAACTCTCTAAGATGAGGGAGAATTTCTCCTCCCTCAAATCCTAACCTAATTTTTCTGCCATTTTCAAACCTTAAATTCTCTCTACTCAGGCAAAAGAAATGAAAAGTAAAAGAATGTACATGTTCAGTGGCATGAATAGGACATTGTTTATTCACAAACTTAAGACTAATGATGCATAATAAGAGAGATACGAGTTCATCAAAATACCTGTTCAGCTGGAGTTCTAACTGGAAAATGGGGAGCTTATAGTGCAAGATACTGATTGGTATAGCTTCCTTGAGGAGTGGTGATGCTGTTCCAATATCTACTTTGCCTTGAGACACCTTGAACTGAGCTGTAGAACTTCAACTGCAAAATGGAAAAGTGAAAATGGTGGAACTTGTTAGAGGAGTTACAGGTCGTGTTTCAAGGCATGGTTAGCTTGCATAGGTGCTAGGGAATGTGTATGAACTGGTTTTGGCAAGAGTGCTTGAGAGGAATAGGAGTTGGCACTCAAACTGCAGAGGCAACTCTGTTTTTGCAGTTTGATGGTGTTTTTTGGCTTGATGATGTTTTTGAGTCAAATGGCTCGTGCAATAGCTTGGTTATGATGTGTGTAGTGTGTTTGATAACTTAGTTCTTGTATGTCTATGCTGAGATGGAAGTTGTCTCTAGTTATGCACTCTTTCTTAGCCTTTAAGCAACAAAATGCAAGTTGGTGTTTTAGGTCAGTAGGGGGCCTCTAATCTTGCTGCAAAACCTCTCTTGATCAGAGTAATTTGTTCATAATAATGTGCTAAAGAGATTTGGTTTGTACTTGCTTGATTTACCAATTGGACATAAAGTGAACTTTTGCAAAAATGGATAGTTTACTTTATCTAAAAATGGATTAATCTTGTATACAACACTTGAACTCATAGAATAACACTTTGACACAATGAACAAGCATTAAATTATTGAGTGTAACTTGGTTTAAGGACCTGTAATCAAGGGCATGCTGGTTTTGAGAAGTTTGCATAACTTATGAACATGAAAAATGGCCAATTCAAAGGTGAGTTTTTTCTATATTGTGAAATTCGATTCTCCCTAACCATGAGGTTGTTTGAGAAGTTTTTGGACATTTTGGAAAGCTTGGAATGTGTACTACAATCCATCTTTGAAATGCAATTTGAAATTCCAAGTGGAAGTGTATGGAAAATGGCCTTGAAGTGGGGTAGAAAAACTTGTCAAAATAGGTCAAAAATTCACTAAGTTAAGAATGGTTTAGTGCCCTTATTCAAAAATTTGTAACTTGAGATGCAAGCTTCAAATGAGAAAACTTTGTGAATCAAAGTTGTAGATTATGCAACAAGCTACAACTTTCATGTTTGGACTTTTGTTTGAATCCAAATGGATCATGGTGAAAAAGTGGGGCAAAGTTGGGAAAAAATTAGGGTTTTTCATAACTTAGAAAAATTCTAAGTTATGAAAAATTCCATTTTAAACCCTAATTTGCATTTTGTGATTTCTTGGTGAACAAGTTTCATGATTTAGCATGTTTTGATAAAAAATGAATCTTGACTCTTGATTTTGACCAAAAAGTCAAAGTTTGACTTTTCAGTATACAGTCAAAATTGATCAATTGACTGGGAAATTCAACTATCAATCCTGTGTACTTGGGATCTTTTGAGTTTGTTGATCATGTAAAGATAATTCCATGGGGTCCTTGAGTCCATGTGTGAGCTTGGTTTGCCATTGGCTAGGTCAAACAGTCAAAAATTGCCTTTGTGCAGTCAAAACCCTAAAAATGACCATTTTGCCCTTTTGGTGATCTGATCAAATTTCTTGGGGAATTGTGATCCAAACTTGATCAAATGATTCATATGAGTTCATAATGTTGATGTGGGTCAAATTTCATGAGGTTTGACTGTCAATTGGCCACAGTTGACTTTTTCCCCAATACAGTTGATTTCTAGGTCAACTGTCCAATTGACTGGGCAAAACTTGGAATCAAGACTTGAAACTTGATATGGGTAAACTTGGGAGTCCAATATGAAGCATGAAAGTCATCTTGGGCATTTTAGGTCAAAGCATCTTTGTGCAAACACAAACCCTAATTTGAGTCCACAGTGCAAGGAGAGGTCTTGAGCAGATGAAACCCTAACTGGATCTTGAGCTTCAAAGGCTTTGTGGTGAGAAATTAATGAGAAATGGGAGGGCAAATTTTGGGGTACAACAATACTCGTCAACCGTGGAGACTCCATTCTGACTAACTTATGGGACAAAGGTCGTTATTCCCGTAGAGATAGAAGAACCCTCTAGGAGATCGAAGGTCCCCCAGACAAGGAGATGAACGGTGCTTCCCTACGGGAAGAACTAGACCTGGTCAAGAGATCCGGACAGGAGCGACCCTACGAGAGGCCTCTCTCAAACAAAATATAGCCATACGCTACGATGCGAAAGTCATACGACGAGAGTTTGAGGTCGAAAACCTTGTCTTAAAGAGAAATCACAAAGAATCTCGCGAAGACAAACTCGTAGAGAACTGGGAAGGCCCCTATCAAGTCTAGGAAAAAACAGGGACCGGGACGTACTACTTAGAAAATTTACAAGGGGAACAACTTGTTCGATCATGGAATGCTGAAAAGCTAAAATAATATTACAGTTAAAACACTAAGCAGTCGACAAGCTTCATCAACAAGACAAACTCATCCAGGTCCGACCACGTGTGCATGCCTAGGTACAAGCATAGCACCCAAAATATTTTGAAGGGGCGATACTTCACTCTTGTAACGAGCGCATCCTCAGCCTAACATGGACAACTCGACCGAGCTCCATCGTCATCATACCACGATGGCAGAACACCCAGCTCGCGATGGGAAGTTCACGCCGCCGAGCTCAGGTCCTCGAAACGAGACTTAAGTTTCGACCCATGCCTGATACTCACCCTGGTCGTTTGTCCAGTTTCCCCATACTGGCAAACATATAAATCAAACGAGCAAGTCCCTGCTATAAACTCTTAGAAAAATAAAATATCTTAAGCAAACGAGCATAATAATAAACATGCAAAAACAAGTCAAATATTTGGAACAAACGACCACCATGGCCGAAAAATTAAAGAAATGAATGCCATGGCCGCTATTGTACAAATATTACAACAAGGGAGTCCTTTAGCTCCCCATCCAAAAAATTAGTTTTGTGGGCACAAAAACCACACTTGTTTGGAACTTACATAAATGGGCAAAAGCCCAGAAAACAAGATTACAAAATTAAAGCACGCGGGCCGGAGCATAATGAGAAAACTATCAAACATCACTCTTCATTCCCTTCCTCAAAAACAGGCGATAGTTGAGAGGGTTCCCCCGTGGGCTGGGAGCGAGTTCCTCAAGGTAGTCGGGGACCAGGATCTTTCTGGAAGCCACATAATAATTAACCCCCATCCCGGAGGCATTAAGCTCGACCCCATGATTCAAGACACGAAGCTGCTTCAGCGCATTCTCAAATCTCCCCTTAGAGGCAGCCTGAGCGTCATCCATCGGCAGTTGGAAACGAGCGACCAGCTCAGCCTGGGTCTTCAAATCCTTTTTATCCTCTGGAATATCTTCAACGAGCGTAACCTCGACAGTTAAAATCACCACCCTATTCTCCAGAGCCTTCTTTTCGAGCAACCATACGCTGCGCTCCTCAGATAGCTTCCCCAGGTCCTCCTCGACCAACTTTCGAGCCTTCTCCTCATCGCTTCGCCCCTTCTTAACTGCGGCCAGCTTGGCCCATAGCTTCATCAGCTCAACCTCTTGAGAAGAGCTCCCCTCGGTGTAGGTGATTGTCATCTCCAATATCCTTATCAGGCCACCAACATCATGCGCCAACACTACCCTTTTCTCTGGGAGATCCAGCCATTTGAGGTGAAGAGACTCAGCCCGAGGGAGTTGTAGAGCGGCACCCTAAAAGAAATCCTTTTTCATCCAGTAGGGACAGGTCATACTTCCCTTTCCCATTTTCAACTGTCAGATCAACACTCCTCTCGATGCATGGTCTCTTCACCTTCTAGGACACAGGAGCGGGAGAGAGGGTAACATCAGCTTGACCCGAGGACGAATTTCCCGATGCTGACATAGGAGCATTCCCTAAACCGGTTTGGGTATCCTTCAATTCTTTCTTCGCCTCCGTGGAAAATTTCCTGGCTATGCGTTCCTGAGAAGGATTCATGCTATCTGCATAACAAAAAAAATAGAGTTAGGAAATGAGGACTTACATATGTCGACAATATATAATTATTCAAAATATAAAACTAAATACCCAAGCATTTAAAATGATCCTCACTCTCGAGAAGTTCCTTAACGACTATTAGACTAGGCTCGTACACGTTATCCCAATTATTCTCCGTGACCGGCTTTCCTCCCCGAACTGCATGCTGGACTTGAGAAATTTGCATGACAAAAGCGGTCAAAACAGCGAAGCTCGCTGGTCCTCGTCGCCAAGCTCTCCCTCCTTCCAGATGTAGGAACCCAACTTATTATCAAAATGCTTCCTCGTCCACTGAAAGGGAAACTTGTAGACCAACTTACTCACGTGCTCCCCCAGCTCGTTCAAAACAGGGGCCCCATTCTCATCATATTCTGGAGTAGCTCGGAAAACGCTTAGCATCGCCCTGCTTGAAAAAGGCTGCACAAGAATATACTTGTCCTTGAAGTGCCAAACAAATTCCAGGTAAGCTTTAAACAGCTTCATGTTGCCCTGCTTCAAGGCGACCCATCTCCACTTACCGTCAACCTTGCGCTTCTGAAGATGAAAACAGTAGAAGAACAAAGGAATTATCGCCCCTATCTTCAAACAATTGTAAACAATCTCGAACCCTCGCATAAAAGTGACCCCATTCGAATGCAACTCAGAAGGAGCCAATCGAAGGTGCCAAAAAATGACCATCTGGAAATCCGAGAAGGGGAGTTGAAGGCCCATCTCCCAGAACACAATGTCATACATGGGGATCCACCGCTTATCATACTTTGAGTAGATCCGACTATCTTTATAGGAGATCCAAAGCGACCACTCCCCCTGACCTCCATCATCGTACGGGTACACTTTAGTAAAAACTTCATCCCGGTGCTCGAAGAAGTAAGAAACCTAATCCCAATGGTCCTCCGTGACCGGGGTCCGTGGGTCCTCGTCATCCTCGGGCAGAAACAGGCACTCTGATCAGCGGATGCCATATCCACATCTTCTATCCCTACGTGTTGATCAGACCGGTTCAGCTCATCCTCGTATATCTCCGAAATGCTCAACATGCTACAAATCTCTTCCGTAGAGCTCTGGGATGATCTGGTTCGTCCATCCGAAAGATCTTCTCTGATATTATCGGCCATAGTACCTGAAAAGCAGAGGATAGAGGTAAGTTCGACATCAATGCCAAAACTACCCTTCCACCCGACCAGAACCCTCACTAAGGCATCTGAAAGAACGAACGCTATTCCCAACAAGATAAACTCCAGTCAACAAAAATAGCCTAAATCCTCAAGGATCATCTACAGCACGTCGTGAAAATCCAGCAAGAATCCACGGCGGCTCCGGCGATTCTAAACTACAGAACCACCGTCTGCCACCAACACTCCTTGAAAACGCCCTAACAAACAGGATCCCAAGCCTAACCACATGTATTTCTAAGAGGAAAATCGTGAAAACCTAAGCTACAACATCTAAATAATAGAGAAAAACTAGAATCTTACCGATTAAAAAAGAAAGGAAGTTGAAAGAAACGGCGGCGAACAGTTAACCTTCAAGAAACATCGGTGGTCGACAGGCGAGCAATAACAAGCAATGCGAGAGAAGAACGAAAAATACAGAATGCCATACTCATCTCGTATTTATAGCTGAACTCGCCCACGCATGAGAAACACGCGCTTAGGGAATCGTAGGATCCTCATCATTGCACCATAGCCCCTAGGTCATCATTGGGTCGTTGCGTCAACACGCTACCTCTTCGACTTTCGAAACTCAAAACCAAGCATCTCCCCACGAGTAAGGCGCAGTGGGTGACGCTCACACTCCTCGTAAGAAGCACCCCTTTTTACGAACAGGCGTTAAAGTCATCACTCAAGTGCCCATAAGCAACGACTTAGGGGACTAATGTTCTGGATTGGCCCAATGGCTAAAGTGGGCTCAGTCTGACCTCCTCCTTCGGCACGGCCCGTGCGACCACGGCCCAGGCTCCCCCGTCCTTCGTCGGGCACCATCGATCATTTTCCCTCCTAGACCAACACTGACCTACGACAATCGACGAGCGCCTCCCAGTCTACCCGGCCTCAAGTCAGCCAGACAACCAGGGACCGACCAGACCACTGCCAGTAACCTACCTCCTCCTCGGAACTAACGGCTAGTTGCGGACACACCTACCCGGTTTGACCAAGTCCTGGCAGTTACCTATTTTTATGGACCCGCATATCTAGGCCAAAAAATAGGGACCAATGGCCAAGTGTCATGGGCACTATATAAACTCTCACTCACGTGAGGGCCATGTATCGAATATTCAATATTCATCACTAAAACCCTAATACTTTGCTTGTATATTCCTGCTCTCTCACTTGCTTGATCGTCAGAGTGTCTTGCAGGTATAATCCCTTTTTTTTCATCCTCGAGTGTCCGGCCCGTCCGAAGATCATCATCCGGCTACCTTGTATGTTCTGATCACCGGTAAGATAAAGATTCCTAAAAATAAAATTTACAAATTAACAAAACAAAATTAACAAATTGAACGTCTCTCTAAATTATAAGGTCCAAAAAATCAAAATAAAAAACATGCATACAAGAAGAAAAATAATCCCAAATCAAACAATAAAATTACCCACAACAACAAAAAAATTGAAAATTTCTCTAAACTTAGGGTTTCAAAATCTCAACCATTTGCATCAAAGATAAAATGAAGTAGATAAAGCAAAGTAACCAGAAACCTCCAAATTGAAATGAACATTATCACATAGCAAACAAACATCGGTCATCAACCACATCCCGCAAGCAATGGATCATCACCTTCTACCCTTATCTCAGTGTCCTCTTTCAGATTCTATTACTACACAAAATAATACCAAAAAAAAATAGATTTGGTTATTGTTGATAGCAAATCATCGCTTAAAAATATCAAAACAATTAGTAAATCGATGTCGCAGATTATCAATTGTTCCTATTTGATTTCAAAAATAAAAAGAGGATAAAAGATATTTTAGAGGAGGGAAAGGGTTGAACAGGAGAAAGATAATCGATTGTTTCAATGAGAAAAAAGATTAAGAATGAGAAAGAGAAACAACGAGAGAGAAAGTGAAAAAGAAAAAAGATGAGAAAGAGATAAGAGAGGAGTAGGAAAGAACATGAATGAGAGAGAGAGTTAAGAAAAAAAACAATATTTTAAAAGATATAGACATGATTCATTGTGGTAACAACAAGATATTTTAGTCTTTTTCAAAAGTATCAAAATTCTTATATATAGTAGATTCGTAAAAGAAATGAAGTTTATATTTTTCAAAGTGAAGTGACATTTAAAATGTATAGAAGTTAGGCAATAACATAAACGTCAAATTAATGGAAATTGATTAGAGTAGTTAATAGATTATTAACCCCATATGTTCAACAATAATTAATTTTTTGCAAAAGAAAGTCAATTTTAATACATAAGGTCATTTAGTTCTTTTAATTGTACTATTTAATAACAAGAATAATACATCAATAGATAAGGAAGAGTTGATCTTTTTTAGTTTGTAAACATCATACATAGTAAATCAAAATTTAAAATGAACAAAAATGTCTTAAAAAACTAACTCCGGGCCCAAACCGGAGGCGTGATAGACGTGTGTAATCACAAAAGATAACGATATGTTAAATTTATTGATAGCTTATCCCAAAGTCCACTTGTACATAACCTATTATATATTCTTTTCTATTTTCCCTCTCTTCATTTAATCACACCACGTATTAATTCCAAATTCCAATCTAAAAAGAAAACAAAAAAAAATAGCCTATAACCTAATTACGTAAGTGAGAGAATAGCTAGAAAACATAAACAAAAACCAAGTAATGCCCTTCACATCACACCAAATTTCCACTCATTCCAACTCAAAAAAGTTACATAAAAATCTCCAAAACTCAAACTTTCCTTCCCTATCTTCCTCTGTTGCCCCTCGTTTTCAGGACGCCACCCCAATTCTTCTTCATCTTTACCCTAAATTTGGCTTTCTTCATTCTTTTCAACACTCTTTGAATCTCAACGAACCATTTCACCATTCTTTTTATTCTTTTTTCTATTTCTTTCTTCTTTCTCTCTACCATGAGAAAAAAACTCAACATTTCGCTTTAACGTTCAATAAAACAAAGGGTGTGGATCTTTTTTTTTCTCTATTCTTCAATTTTCAATCTCATTTCATCTCGAATTGAGAGGATCCACACCCACCCACCCATTTCTCCGTTAACGAATTCTCTCAACAAACAACGAAAACCCACATCAAGAATCGCGTAAAAATTCAATCTTTTTCAATGTCGAACAAGATAGTTCTCCGGCAGGCAGCGTCGACGCACCGGCGACAACCGTTACTCAATAGCCAATCATCGAGAACAGCCATTGTCGGCGAAGTAATCGGAAGCACCGCGGCGGAGTGCTTGGCGGTGGCCTGTTGCTGTCCATGCGGGTTAGCGAATATTTTTCTGTTAGCAGTTTACAAACTCCCGGCGGGTCTTTGCCGGAAAATACTCAGAAAACGACGGCGGCGGAGGATTATAAAAGAAGGCTTGATACAACCGAAGCGTCGTAACTGTTGTTGCGGTTGTTGCGACGATGTTAACGGTGTACCTCGTATTTACCCTATGTGTATAAACGACGCTTCGGATATAAAACGACTGCATGATGGGTCGTTTGAGAATAATAACGATGAAAATGCTATAGCTCTTGAGAAAGAGATGTGGGAGAGATTCTACAGTGCTGGATTTTGGAGAAGTTCTTCAAGGAGAGAAAATTCAGAATCAAGAACAGAAATGGTTTCTGGAAAATTTCAAGTTCAATTGATTGAATTGAAACAACAAACAACAAACATTGGATGAATGAATTATGAATGGACAAAAGAGTCAAGTCAACAGTGGTTTTTGAATTGATTGGTTATTTGTTTCTACTATTTGGAAATTAAACTTTTTGTGCTTTTTAATTTTACTATTGTTACTGTTGACGACTGTGCGTTTGTGACTTGTTTTTTTTTTATTTGGGTCCCGTGTTTCTTTTCAATGCGCTATGATCCTCGATTTGTGTGTTGGGGTGGTGGTCGTGGTGGTACAAGAGATATAATTTCTAAATTCTTTTTATTGTTTGTAATTATTGAACTGTACGTTAAAGCAAAAAGTTGAGTTTATTTATTTATTTATTTATTTATTTATTTATTTATGAGTAAGAATTGTTATAAAACAATTGATAGTGTTTCTAAGATAGTTTCAGAACAAAGAAGGAAGTATGTTGGAGATAGGCTAGTCTCCATTGAACATCTTAACAGGGTCTAATTTGGATTCCAAAGCTTTCAAATCACAAAATAAGGCCCCTCTATAACGAAAATCAAAGAAGGCGAGTTAATTTTCCTGCTACAACAAAATGTGGTCCTTTTCTCGTAGAACCCCTTATGATATGTCATCGATAGATGTTGATGTTATTTTACACTGCGTCACCCTAATTACCAACATTAAGTAAGTCATATAGAAGAAACAAAAGATGGTTGACAAGAGGAGAATAAATGTCGATGAAGAAGTGAAGAAGCTAGAAGAGACACGTTATTTACTAATTTACATCTTGTCTCTTGAAGATGTTGGACATGTGACTATAAATACAAGGGATTGAATTATGGAGTTTGAAAAATGATTTTCAATTATAAAAATGTTGATCTAAAAAAGTTTTAAGTTAATTTTATAAATCAAATAGAAAATATGTAGCGAAATAATTGAAATAAAGAAAATTAAAGAAATAAAAAGATGGAAATACTATAGAAAGAAATAAAGAACCGAAAAGAAAAGAGAAAATGTAAAAGAGAATTACATAAGTGATTTATATAGGTTTGACCTAATCATTGTCTCCAATAATGTCTTTTTTGATAGTTTCTACTATATGAGATGTGAGTTTTTCAAAGGTTATGTCAATAAATCTGTTAGAATTAATTTATATTTTAGGAATTAATTTAGAAATATCTTTTAGATATTAATTTATATTTTAGGAATATCTTTTTAGATCTTTTTATATCTTTGTTAGAGGATAATTATAATTTTATTGTGTATAAATAGCATAGTGAGGCAGGTCAATGTAATTCATTATAAATCATTATTCCTTATTTTTCTAACCGTCATTAAATATATTCCTTTGCCTTTCATGTCTTCTTTGTGCACCAACAAATGGTATCTAGAGCTCCGGTTAGAAATCCATGGGAAACACGAGAGAACAATGAGGTGATAACCGTTGTTTCTGACTCTGGAGAGTTGGGAAACACAACTTTATTGAGTTTCTGCGTAAATTTGCACAAGGTAGAAGATGAACGAAAACGGCGGCGATATTCATTCCAAGCTTCCAGTATTTGATAGCAAAAACTGGAATCGTTGGAAGATCCAGATGCGTGTGTTATTTGGTTCTCAAGATGTGTTAGATCTTGTCACTGATGACTATGATCTGTTAGAAGCAGACGCAATAGAGACACAGAAGATAACACAGAAGGCGCTAAGGAAGAAAGATCAAAAGGCGTTGTTCTACATCCATCAATGTATGGATGCGAACGTGTTTGAGAAGAAGGTTGCGTGGGACACACTGGTCAGATATTATGGTGGTGACGCATCAGTGAAAAAGGTGAAGCTTCAGTCTGTAAGTACGAAGTGCGCCTAAGAGGGGGTGAATTAGGTACTTTTAAAAATTCTGGTTTTTAGTGATCATGGTTCTTATTTTTCTGGTTATAAGTGAGTTTAGGAAAGCTTAAAAATGCAAAAAAATAAAGAGACACGGGCGATATATCCTGGTTCCCCTCACAGTCCGAGAGTACTCCACTCCCCTTTCAACATGAAAGAGATTTCCTTATTGTGGCAAACTTACACAAGAACTACCAACCAAACCAAGAACAATCCTCTTGGACCAAGAATAATCCTCTTGGATTTTCACTAAGTTACCTATGAGAACAATCCTCTCAATATAACTACACTTGTATCCAACAACTTGGAAAGACAAGATTTCAACAAAAACACTTAAACTTAATTCCAACAATCCTGGAAAATAAGTAAGTAAATATCAATTTGTGAGTTTGAGTGAGTAGAGTAATATTGATCACTAAGAGTGATTTAACAATGTATAATCTTCTTCTTTCAATAATAATATTGTACAAAGACTCAAGATATATTTGCTCAAAGTTTTCTGTTTAAAGTATGAAAATGAGCAGAAAACTTATGCATGAAAATGAAGAATGCTTGAGTTTGTATTTTGAAAGTTCAGAAAAATATTTTGAAAGAAGGTGTTAGATCTGGATTCGAAATTGAATATTTATATGTTCATCACACTCTTTTGAAACATCATGAAGATCTGGAAATGTATCATGAACAAATGCCAAGTTTGAGTGAAAAGATGTAATGAAAAGGCATGAACAAAGCTGTTATTTTTCAAATTCGTGCAGTGTGCAATCGATTGCACCTTGATGTAAATCGATTGCACAAGTTTTTCAACAGCTATTTTTTCAAAATTTTAAGAGTGCAATCGATTGCATTAACAATGTAATCGATTGCATGCAAAGTCAGTATCAAAAAATTAACTGAGTGCAATCGATTGCACTAACAATGTAATCGATTGCATGCAAAGTCAGTAGCAAACGTTTTGAAAATTTTAAGTATGCAATCGATTTCATAGGAATGTAAATCGATTGCACAAAGAAACAAAAGCAAAAGATATGAAATTTTGAAGAGTGCAATCGATTGCACTAAGATGTAAATCGATTGCATGTAGAAGAAAAGTGAAATTTTATCTTTGAAAAGCTTGAGTAATGATTCTTAAACATTTCTTTTTCATTTTTGAGCATCTATATCTTAAGATCAAAGTAGATAATATTATTATACCTTTAAAGTTGTTGAGAGCTTTGAGTGAAGATATTATCCTTAGATGCTTAGATGCTTGACCAAAATCTTTTCCTTCTTTGTTAGCCATGGTTTGTCTTCATCAAAACAAAAGCTTATTTGAGAAGTTTGATTTTACACAGTCTCTCAAAAAGCAATATGAGAATCTCAACATGAAGGACAACGAGAAGGTTTCTGAGTACATCTCTAGAGTGATTCTTACCACTAATAAGATGAAATCTTGTGGAGAAACTCTTTCTGAACAAATAATCATTCAGAAGATCTTGAGATCTTTAACTTCCCAATTTGATTACATTGTGGTAGCAATTAAACATTCCAAAGATCTGAGCACCATGAGAGTTGAAGAGCTGCAAAGTAGTTTAGAGGCGCATGAGTTGCGTATGACTGTGAAAACTTCTAAGAGGAAAGCATAGAGTAGGCTCTGAAAGTAACTTCTGGTAAGAAGTATCAGAAGCAGACTTGGTCAAAAGCCAGAAAGAAAACTAATGATGGTCAAAGGTCAGAAGCTTCAAACTCTAATAGGAAGAAGAATGTCCAGAAGGGAAAGGAGAAGTCTGACAAGAAGAATGTTCGGTGTTATTGTTGCAAGAACTTTGGTCACTATGCCAAAGATTATTGGTCAAACAAATAAAGGAAGTCATAAGAAGCAAATATAGACAGAGGAGAGTCTGATGATGAACCTGTACTATTGTTGGCTTCTAAATCTGATAATATAAATTCATCAGAATGGTGGTATATGGACACAGGGTGTTCAAATCATATTACTGGAAACAAGAAATGGTTGGTAGATTTTGACTCTGGGAAGAGTAAAAAGATTATATGTGCTAATGATAAATACCTCAATGCAGAAGGTATGGGAAATGTCAGAGTTATTCTAAATAACGGGAAAGCAGCAGTGATCCAGAATGTGTGGTATTTACCTGGCATGAAAAGCAATCTGACGAGTGTGGGACAACTGATTGAGAAAGGTTTTTCAATTACCATTAAGGAAAATCTTGTGAAACTGTATGACCATAATCAGAAGCTGATTATGGAGTCAGAATAGGGAAAGAACAGAATATTCAAGGTGAATGTTAGAACTGCAGACTCTGAATGTCTTAGTGCAACAAGTGTTGTCAAGGAGAGTGAGTTATGGCACAAAAGATTTGGTCATCTGAATTTCAAAAGCTTAGGGCATCTAAAATTAAAGAAGCTGGTACATGGAATTCCTACAATCAAGAATCCAGAGAAGTCATGCAAGGTGTGCATGGAAGGGAAGCAACCAAGATTACCATTTGCATCAGAAGTAGCTCAAAGAGAAAAGCATGCCTTGGGAGTAGTGCATTCTGATGTGTGCGGTCCATTTCCAGTAGCATCAACTGGAGGGAATAAATACTTTGTCTCATTCATTGATGAGTTCACCAGAATGACATGGGTATCTCTCATAAAGTTCAAACACGAGGTGTTTGCTGAATTCAAGAAGTTCAGACTGAAGGTTGAGAATCAGAGTGGCCAGACTCTGAAGATTCTTAAATGATGGTGATGGTGAGTATAACTCCACAGAATTCAGAAGGTTCTGTGAGGAGAATGGAATTGAGCACGAGGTTACAGCTCCCTATGCTCCTCAACACAATGGTATTGCTGAAAGAAGAAACCGTACTTTGCTTGATATGGTGAGAAGCATGCTGAAAGAGAAGAAGCTTCCTCATACTCTGTGGGGAGAAGTTGTTGCCACTACATGTTATGTGCGCAACAAATGTCCAACAAAGAAATTGAAGGAAATAGTTCCTATTCAGAAGTGGACTGGAGAAAAGCAGAGTGTTAGTCATCTGAAGGTGTTTGGTTTTGTATGTTACAAACATGTCCCAGAAGCCAAAAGAGAGAACTTGGATGATAGAAGTAAAGTAATTTTACTGGTGGGGTACCACAGTACAGGTTAATACAAACTTTATTATCCATAAACTAACAAATTTGAGTTTAGCAGAGAC